TTTATACTTGCCACGATCATTGGAGAGTTTTCTGTTGACATCCGCGGACGCATTTTTTTTTTTTCATATCATAGCGCATAACAGTTTCGCTCTAAAAACTCACAAACTTAAAAGTATACAGTCTATTTCAATACCCAAACTTCGGTTCGCGTACGTGACAGATTAAAAGAAAGAACAGTGCATGAAACAAATCAGTCGCTCCTTTTTCCATCGAAAGTCCTATTTTTGCACACCAGCCTACATCCCGTTTGTTCTTGGCATCACTCCAACTTTTTGAGTTCTTTTTTAACATAAGTGTCGGCTCGAAGCCGGAGTCCCGAAGCCCTGGCTTGATTTTCGGATCAGACTTGATGCCGGGCCCAAACGCAGACGATGAGCCCTGCCTCGATATGGAGTCTCGTTCAGTCGTTCTGGGGTTGTCATTACCTGCCTTTTCCAGGTTCCATGCTCGTACTTGAGCTGTGGGTTCGTCGCTTCTTGGGTTGGGAGTTCTGAAGTTTTTTTCCCTCTCAGTCTCGAGGACAGCTTCCTCTCTTGAAAGTGGCGCTCCTCGCGCATCTATTGGCGCTCATTGCAGGAGGCGTCTCCGCCAGATCGCACAACGCTAATCCCGCGTTGCCCCTTCCTCTTGGGTCTCGGTCGCTTACTCATGACGGCATCCGAGACCTGAGATCAGCCATGCCGTGAAGACGACAATGTCTTCGGGTACCCCTGCGCCGGGTCCGCCCTGACCCGCCCGGGATTCTCCGTGTAACTGTGAGGTCCCTTGTCCTCGCAGTCGCTTCCGGTTGTGGGCTTCATGGAATGGACATCTGCCTTTCCGTCTTCCAGCCTAGTTGGCAGCTCCTGCTTGCGTGTCGACGCCTTGAGTGACTCGGAGTTGGAGTACAAAAACCGCTTCAGATAGGACCGGTCTCTTTTATCAAAAGAGATGTCGATCCCCCCCCCCCCCCCCCCCCCCCCCCTTCTTCCTGATGTGCTGTTTGGCCTCCGGTGACGGTACACTTGGCTTCATCCTGAAGCCGCATGGACGCCCACCGCGGCGTTCAGGGTCCTTTCTTGACTCCGGTTCCGCGGATTTCTTTGTGCTGATCTCCATGAGCTGGCAAGATTTCCGCAACGTTGACTCCTTAGTCTCGCCGTGATCCTCAGGAATGCAGACACCCGGCTCCTCAAGCGCTTCCTGGTCGTATTTCTAGTCTTCGGGTCCAGGCTTTACCGACTCGAGGTCGAGCAGCCCGGACCCACACTTTAGGTTCTCGTAGTCTTCGGGCGTCAGGAGCATGTTACCGCCCGCCTGGACCACCAGGCGAGCGGTGACGGCACATAAAACTGGCACCTCCCGAGGGATGTACTCAATATAGCGCGTGGGAAGAGCCATAGCCACTATCGGTGGGAAATGAAATGAGAACAGAGCAGCGCGTGGCTCGCGGTACAGGCGGCGTAGCCTGTACCGCTCCTCTGTTCGCCTTTTATTTTTCCCTTATAGTATGTCCTGTCCCCATACGTATATATATACGCATGGGGACAGCACTCACGCTGTCCCCAAAGGCCCCGATCAGCGTCACCCTTACAGACGACCCTTCTATCTCGAGTACAACCCCCTCACGCACTACGCTAATCTCCGCTCTAGAATCAAGCATTTACGTTCTTCAAACCGCAAGTTACTTGTATACTGCACAATTTAGCGCGTCCACCCTCTTGATTGAAGGAAAGCCCAGTTGCGTCCAGGGACGCCTTTTGTTTTCGTGGTTGCAGATTTGTGGAGACATTTCTCACCACTACGTTATTCTCCGAGTCTCGGTCCCGCTCTTCTTTACAAGGACGGTCACGAGACAAATGACCTATAACCTTGCATATTAAACATGTTACCCTGGATTGGTTCGGCTTTGAGCGCAATCCTACCTTATCATGCTCTTTTCCGGCAGGGCTGGACCATCTTTTCCTTTCAGGCTCGCGATTTTTGAGTATGCGGGGTTGTGGCAATGTTTGCATCATACTCCCACCTCAAAACCGTCAGCCAGCGCAGCCACCTCTACTGGTTTATGCCATTTTCCAGTCTTATTCAGCGTTACATAGGTCTGCATGTCGGCGGGCAATGAATCTCTAATGCGTTCAGATACCATTAATGCTAGTAAGTCGTCAAGCGAGTCGATCGAGCGACTTCGAGCATTAAAGTCAAAATAGCTCTCGACCCGTGTTGCAAACTGAGTCCAGGATTCTTTTTCTATTCTTGTGACTTTCAGAAAAAGCCTCCTGTGCTCAACCGGCGACAGTTTGAGTTCTAAGAGAATCCGCTCCTTAGGCGCACCTAATCGCTTGCTTCGCGGACAGGCACCCTATTCACCAGCGCGCCCTCATGCGCTCCGTGAAATAAGGACGCATGAGCGAGCCCCTCAGGAGCTCAGCCGCCTCATAGGTCACAAAACGATTTTGTACATCGTTGAACCAGCTTGGTACGAGCAGTTCGGACGACGGAATTTGTGTCAAAGCAACCTTCATGAGCCTGAAAACGCTAAGCACCTCCTTCCTCAGGTTGAGTTCTGCGCCGTATAGCGGATGCGTTCCTGTACATCACTGGATGTTTGTTTGTCACGTGATCGAACTCTGCGAATAGCGGCGCGGCGGCGTACAGAGAACAGACACACAACTCTGACTCTCCTACGAGGAGGCTATCTCTAGGAACTATACAAGGATCATGTGACGGGCTAGTTGGTTATACATTACGAATTTAAAGGTAGCGCTAAAGACGAGGACAAGTAGAAGACACAGACACGTCAGCGCCTGTCCGTGTCTGTGTCTTCTACTTGTCCTCGTCTTTAACGCTACTTTTAAATTCGTACTTAGGAACTATAGGCGTGGCTAGAGTAACTGTATATGCTATGCTTACGTAGCAGAGTACCGCACTGGTGGCATTCTGGAGCCAAGCACTGCGGAAAGCCACGGTCGGTTTTGCAGGGGACACGAAGGCACAGGCATGTGGCAACGAGCCTCGCATGCGTTGTCATCGTCGTCCCATCGTTTCCTGTTTTCCTCTCGACTGCAAAACGCGCGCCCGCGGGTCGCGCGTCGTCGTGGTGTGCTGTCCACGGCTCCACGGTGGTGGTGGTGTCGTGTCGTGGTGAAATAAAGTCGTCAAGTCGCTGTTGCCGGAACATAACATCGTGAGCCTGCTGTCTGCCCAACTTTTGGAGGACCTTCCCCCACGAGTGATTCTTGCGTACTTGGGAGTTGGCGATCTCCTTCACTTACGGAAGAGTCAGACGTGGCGGTTTCTCACACCGTATCTCGCCGTCGGAATCCTGTACAAGCTCTTGCCGCTGTCCGCACGATTTGTGCACATTGCAGGGCTCTCAAACACGCGGCCCCCGGGCCACATGCGGCCCACGACTTGCTGGGACGCGGCCCGCAGGCAACTGGCTAAGAATCTCGGTTTTCATGTCTCAAGCGCTAGAAATGGCATGCGCCATAGTGATCTCATCTCGCCTATTTATTTTCACTCGTACAGTAGCCCCGCTTTTTTTAACGTATTCACATAGTTTTATACACATCTCTGTTCATTTGCCCCTCGTTTATTTTGTAATCTGTTTTGCTTTCCAGCTTTTTGTAATGTACAACAACTCCGCTGCTAGGCTGCAAGCGCGAGCTCTTAAGGAAGCATTTCGACTGCAGAAACTCTGAATCAGCAGGAACTGCCAAAAGATAAAGCCACGAGTTCCGGCTTCTTCCCTTCAAAAATATCACAATTAAATACAAAATATTTGTTCAGTGCGTTGTTTAATAAAAATCATCAGAAAATGAAGAAATATCAAATTAACTAATGATTTTATTAGCGGCTTGAGGAGCTTGGTTTATTGCTGAGTAAATTGAGGGACGGGAACGACGGTGTATCTGCTCTCTTGCTTCATTAAAAGAGCCAGTACGTTAGCTGTGCGGTGTAATTTTAATTCCGGTTATCAGATCAGGTCAAGGGCCAAAGTAGTCAAGTCATAGGAACAAATCGAATTTAAAGATCTCACAGACAAGACTATAAGTTTACAAATAGCATAAAGCAAGAGGTGACTGTTCTTTAAAATAATTTAACTCCCCTCCCCCTTTTACGTTGGCCCTCAACCTTTTTGGTGTGAGTTATCTGGCCCCCACACTCATATCTGTTTTAGACCACTGCACTACGGCCTGTCATTTTCACGGGTCTTTTTCTACGCGCATGCAAAATTCATTAAAGTAACTCAGCGGCTGACGAAAGCGCCGTCCCCTCGCTATCGAATGAGAGCTCGCCGACTTGCCAAGATGGCCGGATGTGCCGCTCGCGTATGCTCCGCGAGAACTGCAGACGCGAGCAACGCGAGCGTCGGTCGTGTCGTCTGCTTGACATACCTTGGAAACGGGTGTTCTAGAACATCGCACGCATTATAAAAAACGCGATTGTACTCCACCCAGTTGCAAAACATCATGTTCAATGATTACGGAAGCTGTACATCGGTTCGTTAGATTTTAGTCTAGGATCTATATTTTGGGAACTCAAACCGGAAAATGTGTTCCTCCTGAAACTTGGCGCTCTGCAAGGCCGCTTTCCCCCACGAAGTTCGGATCCAGTTCTTCCCACGTGAAACCTCCGCCAAGACGGGGGGGGGGGGGGGGGGGGGGGGGGGGGGGGGGTGGCGAAAGAAACAAGAACGCGATACTCTCGCTCTGGAAGCAGAGCCTATGCAGTTACTCTAGGCGTGGTCTAGGCGTGGCCTCTGGTCAGCGCCACCAGGTCCAATATCGCTCACTGCGACAGCTCTAAGAACTTTCATTTCCCCCCGAAAAAAAGGGCAACTCGGTAGGCCGTTCCGGAGGAGCGGGAACCAGTATCAGTAGGCCGTAGTTCTACCCAGCAACCGTTTTCTTTAACTAGTTATATTTGCGCGTGCGCGCTTGCTAGCTATGCGCACGAGCGCAGACTCTGGGGCAGGGCGCTGCTGACTGTGTCGCGCGGCGCCACGTTTCCCGCCCAGTACATCGTGATCGACACCCAGCTGATCGTGGGCGGGGACAAGCGTGCCTTCGCCCTCTCCCCCGAGGACTACATCGCCGGAGCGCTCACGCTGTACCTGTACGTCATCAACGTGTTTCTCTTCATACCCCAATTCCTGTCCGTGTTGAGGGAAGAATGAGTAAAGAAAAGTGCAAAGCGACCACACGATTGATTGAAAATATACGTTTGATCCTTGATTGCTCAACAAAGCGATAGCTGCTGGCTGCCATAGAGTTCATACTTACTAACTCTAGAGGAAAAGGTCCGCCCTAGAGCCACAAAATGAGCTGCGCTTAGAGTATCGGCACTCCGTTCCCCGACATAGTTGTGGGCGCCGCCATTTTGGCTCGTATGCAGAGGAGACACAACTGCCGATCGTCCTGATTCATAAGGGAGGCTTCCTCAGCATTAGAGTTGGTGTTAGGAAGGTCATCTAAGATTGCTTTGCTCTGTCGCGAACTGTTTAAACATTTGCAGAGGACGGAGAAACGTTTCCTGTGATTTCAGATAAAGCTTCAGATAACTGGCAACCATGATTTTAAGACACAATATGGCGAAGTGTCGTTACTCTGAAGCGTAGCTTATTTAGTGGCACTAGTCCGCCCTTTTCACATGCAATCTGCTGCCGCAAACGGCGGAGCATGCAGGCAGACCTTAGGGGTCCCACATATGGTTACCAACTGCCTTCGATTTTACGAATATAATTATATCCTCAGAGCAGTTTCATGAACCTCAACAATCCACGAACTTACCGGTGGAAAGATTTTCGCGTTCCTTTCGAAGCTTTCTTTTTGCATAGCGCGCAGATGTACGGCCTCCCGTCAACGCTAAACTAAACCTGAGATAACCGGTTTCGCGAGTGGGCGCGCTGCAGGAATACGAAACCGCGCAAACCACCAGACTTCCAATATTTCGACAGAAGGGAAGTTAACGCAGCGTAATGTGCATATTGCTCTTTCTAAACGTTAGAATAGCTCAGAGTATAGTTTACAACGTTAAATTATCACTGTTTATATTGCTGAGAGTTTTCAGACTTCGCGATTACCATTGCGACTGTCGTCCTTCAGCTGGCAACAGTGGTTTCTTTTCCTCGTGTTCTGTCGCTCTCTTTCGCGATCTCTCACTCGGGACCCCGGATGTCGCCGCACGGAATTTGACACTTCTCCTCACCCACTCACCACCCTGGCTGGCTGTGTGCCTTTGCCGCGGACTATATGTCCGAACAGCCAACGCCACCTATGGAATAATCGGAGCTTATGAACTACCTCCACTTCTTCCATCGAACGCCATCATAGTTCGGTAACGTCGACTCAGCAATATCCATTTTTTCAGAAGTGCGCGCTATCGGGTACCTGTTACGCCCTTTATCTAAATCCACCATTTTTTATTTATTTATTTTTTGGCGTATTTTGAGCTTGTATCGAAAACGACTACTGCGTCAGCGTTCGGTGAAGACGGGTATCCAATCCCACTTAATGTCCAATGGATGGAGGGATGAATATTGGCTGTACCCTCTGTATCGGGTGGTAGCTACCGTCACCTAGCACCACCTAGCCATCGAAGAAATGGCGATCGCCAATCTGGCTCGATGGACTTTTGAAAAGAGTCCATTAGACCCCGATGCCAAGCGTCTTTGAGCGCATTCAATGGTCATGAGGTAGACAGCCGAACGCTGAGCCAGCACTCTGTGTCCCATCTGTCGTCTGTGCTCGCGATCTCACTGTGGTGATGTCGAAATAGTAGTGCATGGTTGTTGATGATTCTGTAGTCACCGAGAGCTTAAGAAACTTGGGGCGTGGCTAATTATGCAGACTCTTCGCGATTTGTTCTTGGGCATTCTCGACGGTTTTCGCCGCAATCCTATCTGCCACGAAGCGACAATAAGATGCCCGGAGCCCCATATAGAGAAAGCATGAGGTTTTTCACCATTTTTGACAACTTGCCACTTAACAACGTTGCACAATTTTTTTTTTTATTTAAAAACGTTGACGCGTTAGTTAGTATTTCAAGGAAACAAATATTTGATAATAAATATTTTTCTTTTTAAGTGGATTTTTTTTTTTAGTTGACTAATTTGGTAGTTTTTCATTTAGAGAAAATTTACAAGATCCTCTTAAATGCAGGCAGGTAAGTAATTCGTTCAGTTTCTTCTAATTTTATTGCGGAAACGAATAATATCGAAATTATTCTCCTAAGTAGGTCCGTTCCGTAACTACGAGAAATTAAAAGAACCAAGAAGTGTGTGCTTGTTTTCCTTATTTTTCTTGTTTCTGCTTCCCCCGAGATGCCACTCGCTGTCCATGAAAAGGATGAAAATGATGAAATGTAGTTCGGCAGCTCGACTTTGTTCGCCGTGTGCGCATGTCTCGTTTCAGTAGGCGCTCCGGACGCGTCCGTGATATCTTACCTCGCTTTCCCGGAGAATGCCCCTCCTTCCCCGGGAGGCACACCCGCCGCGGGATAGGGGGTGTTCGGACAACTTGTGGAACGAAATCCCGTCCCCGGAGGCGAAGGACGATGTTCAACGACTCCGACGCCCACAAGAGACCACCTCAACGAGGAATGACCAATCCCGAAATAGGAAACTTCCGGCTCGGTCTGTCGGATCCTCACTCATGGGGAATCACAAGCACGGCCGTGGAGGGAGGATTGACCGTACCCCCGTGTGTCCCAACGACAAAGCCTACGAAGCATTTTTCGGGAAGGACCTCTGTAGCGGGAGGACGCACGTTGTTTGCTGCTTGCTGCTCCTCAACAAACGAGCACACGAAAAAATTCTGTCGAAATGTTTCTTCAACAGTACCGATATATACGCACCCTATACTCGACGACAAGCTTTCTTGGCAATGCAGTGGAAAGTACAGGCACGCGGTCCCCATGCCATTTTGAGCGCTGGATAAGGCTGTGCGCGGGCTCTCCTCAACTTCCACTGCATTGCCAAGAAAAGTTGTCGCCGTGTATAGGGATAACTTATAACTAGAATGTATCATATTTACGTATGAATGCAGTGGACGCGTAAATGTATAAAGCTACCTCAAAGTACAACGTGACGATAATAAAACTGAAAAAAAAATTAAAGACGTGACGATAAGAAAAAGTAAATAAAAAATTAAAGAAGTTTACTGATCTCTGTATTGCGAAATTAAAGAGCAGCTCTTGAGGACGAGGAGGGGAGGATAAGGCCCTCGTCCAACTCCTTACCCTCCTCTCCTCCTTTTGCATGCCCCCTTATCCTCCTCCTCCGGACCTTTTCCTCCTCCCGCAGTGTCCCCGCTAAATTTAGCTGCAAAACTGATGCCACGTGACCTCAGAACTAATTCAATTTCCCCGCTAAATTTAGCGGCGAAAATGACGTCACATTACTTCGTTTCATGTCACTCATCAACAAATTCAGTTTTTCCGCCAGATTTAGCGGGAAAAATTGACATCACGTGACCTCGACCCATTTTAGGTTTTCTCGCGCTATATTTAGCTGGGCGGTTACGCCGACGGCGACGTCGCTATACTCGGAATCGGGCGCCTACAAGCTGCACTCTAAAAAGTCACCTCGGTTCGATTTTTGGCAAACGTATAGACAAAATATTCCTCAGACTTTTACGCCTTTTTACCGTTCTTGCTGAAGGGTCGATCTCAAACACGCGTCCCGCGGGCCGCATATGGCCCTCAACCCGCTGGGACGCGACCTGCAGGCAATCGATTACGAGCTCCCGTTCCCATGTCTCGAGCGCACCAAATGGCATGCGCCGTAAAGGTCTCGTGTCGACGATTTATTTCCGCTCAAAGCGTAGCGCTACTCTTCTAACGCATTCACATAGTTGACACGGTTCTCTTTTTATTTGCCTTGTGTGTCGTTTTAGATATTTGCGTCCCAGCCTTTTGTCATGACCTTTGCTTTGCTTTGAAACGTATTTATTTAACGACTGCCTTGACCGAAATGACAATAGCCCGATCCCACTTAGCATGACGCCGTCATAACTTTAGCTCTTAGGAGGCAGACGGCGGTGCACGAAAGGGCTTTTGCTGTCTCGTGCTCACGCGCAGAGCCTCAACGAGGCTGTCGTTCGTGAAAAATAATAAAGTTCCCTCGAAGCACTGCGGCAGCGGTGGCGTAGTCAAACTGGCTGGTGAGAATCGCAAGTATGGCGCCCGACCGACCAGCGGAATACTTCACGCCAACAGCTGAGCAGCATCTTTTTACAGCGAAACTCTTTATGGCTAAGGTCCCATGGATTTTTCATGTGCGCCAACAAAACACAGAAATAAAGCTCCTTCATTATTTAAAGGTAGCGCAAGGTGCGTCGATGCACGAGCCACGTGCAGCCTGCCGCCCTTGGGAAGATAATGGCAGCACAGCGCAGCACTGAGCCAGATTTTAGACGCCATGTTTGCCCAGATCTGGCACGCGACACGTGTCTCGAGCATTTCCACAACAATGAATGGCACCACTTTTCCCAATATTGAGGGGATTTACACTGAAGTAAAGCCCCTTCTAGAGCCACTATATAAGCTTATTTAGTGGCACTAGCCCCTTCCTGTTTAAAAAGTAGCGCAAGGTGCGCCGATGAACGAGGCACGTGCACCGTGCGTCACTGTGGAAGATAATGGCGGCACAACGCAGCACTGAGCTATAGATTTCAGACGCCATATTCTTCCTAGTGCCACTAAATAAGCTACGCTTCAGAGTAACGACACTTGGTCATATTGTGGCTTAAAATCATGGTTGTCAGTTTTCTGAAGCTACAGGAAAGGTTTTTCTGTCCTCCACAAATGTTTAAACAGTTCGCGACAGAGCAGAGCAATATTACGTGAGCTTCCTAACACCGAATCTAATGCTGAGGAAGTCGCACTTTTGAGTAATGACGATCGGCAGTTGCGTCTGCTCTGCACCATCAGCGAAATGGCGGCGCCCACAACAATGTCGGGAAAAGGAATGCCGATACTCTAAGAACATTACCACAACAATGAACGGCGCCACTTTTCCCGTGATAGAGGGGCTTTACACTGCAATAAAGCCCCTCTACCTTGGGAAAAGTGGCGCCATTCATTGTTGTAGAAATGCTCGAGGCACGTGCCGCGCGCCGATTCTGGGAAATGCATGGCGTCTGAAACCCAGCTCAGTGCTTCGCTGTGCCGCCATGA